GGGCGGGGTGGAAAAAAAAAAAAGCCCATCAAGCTTTGGGCCAGATCCTGTTTTCAGGCAAACAGCCTCTCTGCTAATGAGAAGGGAGGAATGCGGGGCCGGAGCCAGGCAGGATTCTTTCGAAACCAAGCTGTAAAAATAAATGGAAGGAGGAGGGGGGGGGGGAGAAAAAAAATGGGGTCAGAGCATCAGCCACCTCTGGGAGGAGAAGATGCTTTCCCAGCCGAGCTCCAGCCCCCACAGCCTCGGGGTTGGGTGTCCTGGGGCTGTTCCTGACCCCCATCCGTGGGGTGGCGTGGAAAAATTTGGAGGGCAGACTTGGCTGGGGGCTTGGCTGTGATAAGCTTAGCTTTGCACCCCAATTTGGGGTGGGGATTGGAATAATTGGAATTAGAAAAATTGGTCGGGCGTTGGAAGAGGCTGCCCAGGGAGGGGGTTGAGTCACCATCCCTGGATGTGTTGAAGGGACGTTTAGATGTGGTGTTGGGGGATATGGTGTAGGGGAGAACTTTGTAGAGTAGGGGAGATGGTTGGACTCGATAATCCCAAGGGTCTCTTCCAACCTGAATGATTCTATGATTCTATGATTCCAATCCTTGGGAAGGATCCTCTCCAGCAGCCCCAAACCTCCCACTAAATATGAGGCTGACTGTCCTGGGGATGGAGACGGCAGGGGGGAAAGACGTTGGGGAGATCAGAGTTGCACCCCTCCAGCAGCCCGGACCCCCAAACCTCCCGCCAAATATGAGGCTGACTGTCCCAGGGATGGAGACGGGGGGTGGAAAGGAGTTGGGGAGATCAGAGTCTGGAAGGAAAAGTCTCCTGGTCCTTCCCTACCTGGAGGAGAGGACTGGGGACTGATGGGCACGGGGAGATGACAGCCCAGGAGTGTGGGGATCCCTCCCGTGGTCGTTCTGCACCTCCGGTGTCCCCGTGCCAAGGGGAGGGGGATGGAGAGCCCCATGGATCCATCACCATCTCACCCTTCCTCCCCTGTCTCACCAGGCGCCTTCGCCAAGGTGAAGGAGAGCCAGCGGATGAGCGACGAGGGCCGGATGGACCAGGAGGAGGCGGACGGCATCCGGAAGCGCTGCCGGGTGGTGGGCTTCGCCCTGCAAGCCGAGATGAACCACTTCCACGAGCGGCGCGTGGCCGACTTCAAGAGGATGATGCAGTCCTACCTGAGGCAGCAGATCGTCTTCTACCAGCGGGTCAGCCAGCAGCTGGAGAAGACGTTGCGCATGTACGACAACCTCTAACGCCGCCCGCTTGCTGCCCCCACCGAAACCACGCACTTCTCTATCCGCAGCCTTGCAGGCCTCCCCTGTTTGCGACGGGCTGAGAACGAACAGGAACTCATCACGCTAGTGACCAAATACCTTCGGGCTTTCTTCCCCCTTCCTGGGTGGGCAGGCTGTGGTCCTGCAAGGGAAGGGTTGGCCCACGGGCTGGCCGTGCCACCTCTTTCCCTGGGGACCTCCCACCCTGCTGCGGGTCTGGCGGGGACACGGCGGGGGGTCACAAGAGAGACAGACGTGGAGGTAACGGTGCCAGCATCTCTGCCCAGTGATTTTTAGCTTTCTGAAAACCCACCCTCCTGGAGCAGAGAGGTGGGTCCATCCCAGCCCGCTGGGAGAAGAAATCAAAGCGGTCAAACATTTTGCACACTAAAAGCTTTTCTGATGGAAAAAAAAAAGAAAGAGAAGAAAAAAGATCTTTTATTTGGAAGAGAATGATTTCAATATTTTCCATTTTTCGCAAAGGTTTCTGCAGCATTTTTACCAATCAGTTTTTAAATAGACGCACAGAGGCGAGGGGAAATCTCTTTCTCAAGCGTGGCTGTTGACTGGGAAAAGGGAGAGGAAAAAAAAAATGGAAAAAAAAAAAAGCCCCACAGCCTTTTCAATAAAACCGTCGGTAGAAAAAATACCCACCTCCTTCCCAGAGATGTCTGTGGAAAAGGGAGCTGCTCCAGGATCCTGGGGAAGGCTCCACATCCGAGCATCCCCTGGTTCCCAGCCAGCTTCTGAAAATCCCTGTGCCGTGGGTGGCGGGGGGGCTGAGTGCTGGGGGGGTTGTCCTACACCCGCCACCCTCCCACTCTCCAAACAACCCACCGAGGGGCAAATCCTGCCCCGTTTTGCCCTGCCCAGTGGGGCAGGACCCACGGCAGCGTGCCGCTGCCTGGGGAGACAGCGGGGCTGGCACGGGGGCCTTGTTTTTGAAGGGAAATGGCTGGGATAAATCACGGCGAGGAAAGTTAGGGACGGCTTGGCCTGGCTCCAGGGTTAAAATTAGCCCCGGCATGCAGGCCAGCGGGGTATTGTTAAAATAACAGCGGCGCTGGGAATGCGGCGGGTTGTGCTCCGTCCTCCCAGAGCCCTCCCCAGCCCCAACCCGCGGGGACAAGCACGTCTGAACACAAGTGGAGGCATTGCACAGCCTTCGTCCAGGGAGGACACGCTTCCTCATGCATCCCGCAGCTGGGGCGGTCTCCTTCGTCATGGTTCCATCCCATCCTGGCCCCATCCCATCCCAATCTCATCCTATCTTGGCTCTATCCCACCCTGGCCCCATCCCAGCCCCATCCCATCCTAACTTCATCCTACCCTGGCCCCATCCCACCCTGGTCCCATTCTATCCCATCCCATTCTATCCTAGCCCATCCCAACCTTATCCTACCACAGACCCATCCTGCCCTGGCCACATCCTACCCCACCCTTATCCCATCCCATCCCAACTTCATCCTACTACAGCCCCATCCCACCCTGGCTCCATCCCGTCCCATCCCATCCTATCCCATCCCATCCCATCCCGGCTCCATTCTATCCCAGCCCAACCTTATTCTACCCCATCCCCATCCCACCCTGGCTCCATCCCGTCCCATCCCATCCTATCCCATCCCATCCCATCCCGGCTCCATTCTATCCCAGCCCAACCTTATTCTACCCCATCCCCATCCCACCCTGGCTCCATCCCGTCCCATCCCATCCTATCCCATCCCATCCCATCCCGGCTCCATTCTATCCCAGCCCAACCTTATTCTACCCCATCCCCATCCCACCCTGGCTCCATCCCGTCCCATCCCATCCTATCCCATCCCATCCCATCCCGGCTCCATTCTATCCCAGCCCAACCTTATTCTACCCCATCCCCATCCCACCCTGGCTCCATCCCGTCCCATCCCATCCTATCCCATCCCATCCCATCCCCATCCCATCCTGGATCCATCCCACCCCAGCCCCATCCTACCCTGGCCCCATCCCTCCCCAGCCCCTCCAGCAGCAGCAGCAGTGGGAAGAGGGCAGCGAACCCCCCCATGCCAACCCCGCAGGGGTTAACCCCTCGTCCCTGGCCCCGCTGGCAGTGCACTGCGTGCCCTCGGTTGTCTTCTCCCCACGTTGAGGCCAGATGCTGTGCGGGACAGCACGTTCCCCCCCCTCCGGTAGCACAATGGCCCCTGGGTTTGAGCCTGCCACCGCCGTCCCCGGGCGGGCAGCCAGCCTCTGGCATGGCACGGCCAGCAGCCTCCGGAGCTGCCATGGCACCCAGCTGCAGCATCCTAGCTCCTCTGGACCAGGCGTGGTGGGGGAAGGTCCTTCCCGGGGTCCCCCTTTTCTGGGCTGGTGACACCCTTGGTGAAGGGTGAACGTTGGGAAGGGTGGGTGCGACTGGAGCAGGGAGATGTCCCAGCACCCCGGGGGCTCATCCTCCACTCCGGTGTCCTGGCATGGGGACAGGGATAGGAGAGGACCCCGTGGGCTGCCTGTGCCCCCTCTGAAGGCTGTGCCTCAGTTTCCCCAAGGGTGCTCTCTCTGCTGAGTGGGCACCCCTGGGGTGCAGGTGGTGGTGGAGAGAGGGGCTGGGGGTGCAGCAGTGCCCCCGTGCCCCCGTGGTTTTGGTGGCTGCCCTTACCCAGGACACAGGCTGTTCCCTGCTCCTCCTCTGGGTTGCTACAAATTAAAAAAAAAAATAACAAAAACCAAAAAAACCCCGGGGCACGTGGGGCCGAGAGGAAACGCTAGGAACACGGGGCAGGTCCGCTTCCTCCTCCCGCTTCCCAAGGCTGCTCTTGCGTGGGAAAGCCAAGGCCACGAGCCCGGCCGGCACGACGGCCGGGTGGGGAGGTGGGGGTGGCAGCAGCAGCCAGTGTGTCCTCCCCCGGGGAGCACCACAGCCCATCTCTGCCTCTGCTACGGTAGGAGGCTTCCAGATGGTCTCATCTTACCTCTCCCCACTGTGGAAAGAGAATCCGGCACAATCCTTGTGCTGGTTGTCCCCAGGGACTGCTGCTGGCAGGCAGGGGGGGAGAGGTCCTGGCAGGTGGGAATCAGGTGGAACCTCCAACCCATCCCCATGGATCCACCAGACCAGCAAGAGCTCAGCTCGGTAGCATGAATCATAGAATCATTCAGGTTGGAAGAGACCCTTGGGATCATCAAGTCCAAGCATCTAGCCTACTCTACACCTCCACCTCCACAGCCATACCAATCCTCTGCCACCCCCTAAAGGTGTCCCCACCCCAGCCTCGCTTAAGGATTGATGCTCTGGGGTGGGATAACCTCCTCCTTGGTGCAGAAGCAGCCGGGGGTCCACAGGGACCCCCAAGGCAGCTGGAGGTTGAAGGCTGGGGTGCCTCCTGGGGCGAGCTGGGACTCATCAGCGGCATGGACGCCCCCACCAGCCTGAAAGTGCTCCATAATTTGGGAAATTGGGCCCCAAAGCAGCCCAATGGCCCAGCCTGGCTCCCTCACGTGGCAGAGGGTGCAGCTCCCGGTGGGGCGGCCGGGCAGGATGAGACCTGCTGCTGCTTGGCAAAAGTGTGCCAGAGAGGGAACGGCTGCCGAGGGGAGTGGGGGGCACAGCTGGCCGGGGCTGTGCCCGCTGGGGATGGAGCCAAAGTGGGATTTCACCACCCGAAAGGGCCCCGTGGTCCCATCCAGACCCAGCTGTGGAGGTGGTGGGAGCGGGCAGACACCCCTGGGAGGGCACCGGGCGCGGGGCAGAGGGAGAGAGCCCGGGGCTGCCAGCTCAGATCTGTTAATCACTGCGCTTCTCAAATATTTCCGAAGCGTGACCCTGACTCGGCTCCTCCGGGCGAGGCAACGAGCCCCAGCTGGTTCCCCTTGGCTGTGGCTATAAATCCTCCCTCCCCCTCCCAGCCTAGGGCAATTATAGGGGGGGTGGGGTTGGGGGGGTTCAGTAGTGTCTTTACTGGGGGAACGAGCTGGGATCCACCTTTAATTGCAGCTGAGCTTTGCCAGCCTTCCTTTCTCCTGAATGCTGCAGCCCTTGGTGCTCTGCAAAGTGCTGGTTTGTCATGTGTCCCCCTTCCCATCTCCCCCAGCAAGAGCTGGGGTGATACTGGGAGCAGACCCTGCCCCAGTTGTCCGTGCCAGGATGGATAATCCTCTCTCTGGTCCCCCCCATCTCCCCCAGCAAGAGCTGGAGTGGTGCTAGGGGCAGACCCTGCCCCAGTTGTCCATGCCAGGATGGATAATCCTCTCTCTGGTCCCCGGAAAGGCACTGAGCCCTGGGAGGTAGGTCCCGCACTGCCATGGAGCTGTGTCTCTGGGTGTGTTGTTATTTTTTTGCAGGAGGGGTGGAGAAGCCAGGCAGGTCCCGCGCTGCCGTGGAGCTGTGTCTCTGGGTGTGTTGTTTTTTTTTGCAGGAGGGGTGGAGAAGCCAGGCTCTGGGATGCGGTTGTCCCTCCGTCATTGTCTGTCCGTCTGCCTCGGAGTTGCTGGGTGTGGAAATGGAGGCTGGGCTCAATCTGGCTTGAATTTAAGTCTTGGAGAGCCACGGCCGGCAGCAGCTGCCTGGGGTGATGCTTTCTGGTGTCCGTGTCCTCCTGTCTCCATCCTCTCCTCTGCTTGCCAGGGCCTGGGGAGCTTTATCTCAGGTGGGTGAGGTGGTGAGGGGATGCCAGGCTCCTGGGGACAGCACGGGCTCCTTGTCCCCACCTCCTGTGAGGTGTTCCCGGGGTGACGTGCCTGCACCCTACTCTTCCCCCCACCCCACAAAGGCTCTGTTCCATCCTGCTGGGCTTGCTGCCAGCTGAGCCTGTTCTGCAGGCTGTGGGCATGCCCTGCCGGAATCGGACAAGGGAGGGAGGAATCCCAGCATCCCGGGGCTCTGGGCTTGGCTTGGAGCCCAGCACAGCTCCTGGGTCTCCTTTCATGAGGCAGCAGCCAGCCTGAGGTCTGGCTCAGAGTTTCCCCCTCAGTGTGGGGCAGCTCCTAGGAGGACCTGTCCACTTCTGGTGAGGTCCTACCCGCCTCTGGAGGATTAGGTGTCCTGCTCTCCCAGGTGGGGTCTCCTGGAGACCTCTCCTTGTCACCTGCCACCCAGGAGTGTGACTTGTGCTTCCTGAGGAGCCCCCAGACCATTCCTCCTGGCTCCTGGAGCATCTCTTAGGACTGGTGAGAGCTGCCAGGAAGGTTTTGGAATGGGGGACAGGGAGGTAGGAGCTCTGGGACCATGCATTGCCTCCCCAAAACAGAGGGGGGCTGCCTGCATGGGCTCAGGGGGTTCATGCACCTGCGGTGCCTCTGTCCCCAGGAGAAACGTGGACAATGCTGTCACAAGGTCCTGCAGCCTGTGGGGTGGGGATGTGATGCCTACATGGGTCCCATGTAGGGAACTCATGCACCTGCGGTGCCTCTGTCCCCAGGAGAAACGTGGACAATGCTGTCACAAGGTCCTGCAGCCTGTGGGGTGGGGATGTGATGCCTACATGGGTCCCATGTAGGGAACAAAGCCTGGCTGGGAATAAAGTCCCTCCTTGGTTGAACCCCTGCATTTGCATGGCTACAGCTTTCAGGGGAGGGTTTCAAAGCCAGATGATCCTATCTGCCCTGGGTGGGTGCTGCA